TTTTGCATGATTTTAGCTTACAAATTGCACAAAATCCATTGATTTAATCACAGAGAAACGTCATTAAATTTGCAGCATTTGAAGTTCTTTCTGTTTACTTGTTGGGGAACAAATAAGTGTGGGTGTAGGATGTTAGTGGAACTGAATTCTTTAGCATTTCAAGTTACGATTTACCGTCTAGGAGATAGAATTATTTGTTCGTATTCTATTTGAGAAGTTTGTTTCTTAACGAGTTTGGGATGCTTGCAGACCTGGAATCTAGTTTGACACTCTCTTTAAGCTATGATCGTGAGTAGTTTTGTTCACCTCACATTACATATTTTAAAAATCATGAAATCATTTTATGAGACTTCTAATTCAAGTTTCATAAAGTAATAACATTAATTTTAGGAAAACAAGCTTACAAGGCTGTGATTCTTGGGGAACTTTTAGACCTTCCCAAATGTAGGCCATAGAGTTCTTTGAAAGGATTATATTTGCATATCATACCATCTTCTTCCTTTTTTCTTTTTTTTTTTGGTGAGAAGACCATACCATCTTCTTGTTCTGTTTTTAATTGCAGAAGATCTTCTACTCTATAAGTTTTAATGGCTTTGAGAATGGGAGGGAGGGTTGAATGCTCAGTCTTCTCAAGCAAAAACTGAATTTTTTCTCCACTGGTTGTGTACTCGCTGAATATAGTAAGTGTGACGTGGTACTTTGGTATAAGATCAGGACTTTCCTGACATGTATATTTCGGATATGTTTCTAACTCTTTCCTTCTCTCTGAAATCAAAGAAGCCATTTTTATTTACCATCCCTTTCCTGTCTCTTGCTAAGCTCTGGTATTTTTTTTTTTTTTTGGGATATGATTCTTGACATCTTAGTTTAATGTGATATTCTCAATCTTATTAATGCTTGGAAATTGTCTACTTCTCAGTTGTGAATTCCTTATCCTGCCAACCTAATTTATTCAAAGTTGTTTTGCTGGTTTGCTGCTGATTCTGCGGATTTTTTTTCCTTGTGCTGTGAGCCCGTGAGTATGCTAGGATTGATTTGAGGGAACTTTAAAGGGGGGGGGGGAACCGCAGACTTCTTTGTCCCTAAGGAATGAATTACGAATGTCAAAAAATTGAGATTCATTTAGAGGCTTGAACTTGAAATCCAAAGGTTCCTTAATTATTCTTTCATGTGTGCTAATCCCTCTGAATTGCATAGGTGGCTATTTGGGAAATGACAGCTTTTTAATGTAAATAGATGTACTTGCTTTGATGTTTGAGCTTTTATATTCAATGCACTTCTATGAGGCTTATTGACATTTATATCATTTGATGCCTTATGTTAAAGTGCATAAATATAACAATAGGGGTCTACTTTTTCTCTTCAGCTTAGACTTTTCATGTTTTTGCTGCTTTGTAGCCCCCCTACATATAATTTGTCAAATTTCTTATGTATGCACTCTTGCATCATTTGATGCTTGATTCCAATGCTTATTCACGAATGTGGGAAAATTGAGATTGATGCCTATTTAAGAATGTGGGAAAATTAAGATTGATGCCTACTTGTGGATGTGGGAAAATTGAAATTGATGCCTACATAAGAATGTGGAAAAGTCAAGATTGATGCCCATTTAAGAATGTGGGAAAATTGAGATTGATGGCTACTTGTGGATGTGGGAAAATCGCAATCGATGCCCATATAAGAATGTGGAAAAGTCGAGATTGATGCCTATTTAAGAATGTGGAAAAATTGAGATTGATGCCTATTTAAGAATGTGGGAAAATTGAGATGGATGCCTACTTATGAATGTGGGAAAATTGAGGTTGATGCTTATTCACAAATGTGGGAAAATTGAGATTGATGGGGGAAAATTGAGATTGAATGCATCCTTATGAACGTGGGAAATTGAAATTGATGCCTATTTAAGAATGTGGGAAATTGAGATTGATGCCTATTTACAAATGTGGGCAAACATAAATTGCTGCCTATTTACCAATATGGGAAAATTGAGATATTTATGAATGCGTGAAAATTGAGATTGCTGGCTATTTAAGAATGTGGGAGATTTTTTATTGATGCCCATTTACAAATGTGGGAAAATTGAGATTGATGCTTGTTTATGAATGGAGGAAAATTGAGATTGGTGCCTTTTAAAAGAATGTGAGAAAATTGAGATTGATACTTGTTTACAAATGTGGGAAAATTGAATTTGGTCCCTATTTATGAATGTGGGGAAATTGAGATTGACACTTGTTTACAAATGTGGGAAAACTGAGATTGACTCAGAGGCTTGAAGTTGACATGCAGAGTTGCCTAAATTGCTCTTGCAAACTTGACCCAGTTTTCATATCTTCTAAAAGTTTGTTGTTATATCCATTTTCCTTGTTTGTTTTCTTTCTTTTGAAAAGAGGAAGGATGCTATTTCTGATTTTAGTGGCCTTTTGTTTTCATGGATTTTTTAGATTATAAATAAATTAAACTAGGTCTTGGGCCCAGTTTATTGCCTGAAATCTGAGGCTTAAAGTTGCATGGTTCAGGCCCTATGAGCAATGTGGCTTTGAGTGGTGCGCGCGCGCGCGCATGTTTATATTAGTGATGAATAATATGGAATTATTCATGATATTCTGTTTTGAAATTTTGTAGGAATAGGCTGGAAGTCGTGGAAGGAGTGGTGGTTTATACTTACACCGTACATCATTGGTTTCCTTTAAAAATGATTGTTTCGTATCTTGCAAATCTAGCCTATCTTTGCTTGGAATCTTTTTTCCCCTTGTATTAAATTCTTTTTTAGCTTCTCTGTATGAATCAGCCTTAAATCTATGAATATACCATGATTTTGCAAATGGTAAAATTGTGATTGATCAAACTTCTCCCTCTATCAATATCAGAATACCGATAGTTTATTCTGATTTTCATGACAAATGGCATTTTGCTCATTTGCATTTGTGGTTAGAGATTAGGAGGTGATGACAAAGTATAAACTTATGGAACTTATTTTAATTTGTAATGTAGAGTACCCTTTCACAGAAAGGTGGGGAAGTAAATGTGACATTGAGGGGTATTGGCTTAAACAATTCAGGGAGGCAAGTTTTGTTGTTGCAATCCTCTTTATGTGGCATTCTGATGATCTGTCTTAAAAGTTTACATTGAGGAAAGAACTGAGCAGCAATGATGAGTTTACATAGAAGAACCTGCAAAGAAATTCACAAGTTTAAATTTATTCTGGTTTATAAATAATCAGAAAAACAAAGTTTGAATGATAAAATAAAAACATGAGGTGATTACTAATGTATTCCGGCATGTCTATTTTGTATGTTCACCTACATTTCTCCATCGTTCGCAGGTTCATCTACTCTATCATGGGAGAGGGCATATTAATGTGCTTCATCTCTTTATTGGGTTGCATTGTGGCCGAAGCATTTAATGGCTTCTGCCTATGCTTTGTATCCTGCTTAAAGTGAATATTTCTATTTTCCCACCTTACTGTTTCCGAGAATTTTAGCACCTTCTGTTCTTAAAATGAATTTTTGGTGCAACTCTGGGATTAGCTCTTTACTTTAAACTTTAGTGATTCATTCTTTCGTTTTGCTTTTTTCCTAATAATATAAATTCCAGTTATTCTTTTCTGATATTTATTTATTCCATTTTTATTCCTTCACCTATTGTAATGCCAGTATAACATACTCATCACAGTATTAATTCTACTAGAGGCGACTTTGGTGACATTCATCACTGTTGATCATCATTGGGAAGAGGTTCGTTTTCTCTGTCCTTCCCTCTTCCTGGCATAGATATGATTGTGTTAGCTTACACTGTATTCTTTCAAAAATTGAGAATGTGTTAGTTTTTGCCTTTACAGGATATTCCATTTGATCAAACTGGTGAACTTCAGAGTGTTAAATCTTTCCTTGAAGATAATCTGGATATGTGCGAATGGGTTGGCATTACTGTGGTTGTAGTTGAGGTATATTCTGCTTTACCTTTGGCATTGGCATCTAGGAAAGCCTCTCTAAAATAATCGGATATATTCTTGTCCTTGGTCTATTCACGCTGACATGTAGCATATCCCATCTCTCATCACCTGAGGTGGGGCTTTGCTAATCAATACTACCTCTGGGCCCGAGGTAGTTGTAACATGTTTCTTGTAAATAGGCATGGAGGTAGTACGATGTAAATTTGGAGTATTGATGTTCTTCAAACCCGGAAGTCATTCTATGTTTTATTGGCATCTTAGATTTCTGGTTCATAAAAAAGAATTTACTATTAGGAGAATCATTTTACCTGCTAATCGTTTTTTCCGTTTGTAGCATCATCCATATATTGATTTCAGTTCATTTTTGAAAACTTCTATGCTTTTAGTCATCAATTGCATAATGGAGTCTAGCATGTGGTCAACTTTGTATTTCACAAACACTCATGGATCCCTAAGATAGTTCTCCAACAAGAAGTTTCATTTCAAAGCTTTAAGCAGTGAATTTGACGTAACAAAAATAGAGAAGCTAGCTTTTGCTGCTGCTGTTGAGGAAGTTACCATGGTATCATGGTGAAATGGGTTTGGGGACTTGGAATCCAAGTGTTTGTCATTATTAATTTGAGCCGCTTGATAGTTGCATTCTTTGTTTATAATTTAGCATACTCCGTGGACTATTTCTTCCTGTTTTGGTTTTGTTTTGGGACTTTGGATGTCCTCCTGTCCACCGGAGTTCAGATAGGTAATTTTATGTGGTAACACTTGATGTCATTCGAAATTCATAAATAACATGAAGTCATATTCCCAGTCCATTATTGAAGCATGAATCTCGTGTTGATCCTTGACCTTAAGTGTGCCATTGGTCAATGAGGCATGAATGATTGTTGAAATTCTTCCTCTTGTATATCTAGTTTTGTTTTGGTTCCCAGCTTACTAGGTCACTTCAATTTTAGTTCCTTGTTTTAGTTAATGCACAACAGATTACTAGGTCACGTCTGTTTTAGTTCCTTCTTTTAGTTAATGCACAAGTTACTGAGTTAGTGTTTACAAATGGGAAAATTGAATTTGATCTTTATTTATGATGTTGTATAATTGAGATTGATGACTATATACAAATGTGGGAAATTTGATATTGATGCCTATTTTTGAATGTGGGAAAATTGTCATTGATGCCTATTTACAATTGTGGGAAAATTGAGATTGATGCCTATTTTTGAATGTGGGCAAACTGAAATTGATGTTCGTTTACGTTGACTCCCCAAATTTTACAAATCAAAAGTATATTTTGAATATATTTAGGGAGTCATAAAAGCAAAAGTGAAAATATTTTCATGAATTGGCAAAGAAAAATTTATCAAAGACATCATGTGAGTATAAGGCGAATACTAATAAGAAAATGATGTAAAATTGGGAATGATTGAATCCCACAGTTTTTCCACTTACAAATGCTTATTATTGCTAGGTGCATATGAACATTATAAGCAATCAAGAAAGGAGTTAATGCATAAGGAAGTCAAGTTGAGAAGATTCACTAATGTCAAGGCACATGTACGAGGTGCTACAACACTCTATTCTAAGGAAAGAAGGCAACATCATTGGTGCACCAAAGCAGAAATGCCATTGCACCTTGTGCAGAGAAAATACAGTGCTTCTAGTGCCACGACACTGTAGTAGGAGTGTCACCTAGGATTAAAAGTATATTTTGAATATATTTAGGGAGTCATAAAAGCAAAAGTGAAAATATTTTCATGAATTGGCAAAGAAAAATTTATCAAAGACATCATGTGAGTATAAGGCGAATATTAATAAGAAAATGATGTAAAATTGGGAATGATTGAATCCCATAGTTTTTCCACTTACAAATGCTTATTATTGCTAGATGCATATGAACATTATAAGCAATCAAGAAAGGAGTTAATGCATAAGGAAGTCAAGTTGAGAAGATTCACTGATATCAAGGCATATGTACGAGGTGCTACAACACTCTATTCTAAGGAAAGAAAGCAACATCATTTGGCACCAAAGCAAAAATGCCATTGCACCTTGTGCAGAGAAAATACAGTGCTTCTAGTGCCATGGCACTGTAGTAGGAGTGTCACGACACCTTGACGGAACCCAAAATGCAAAGTTTTGTCCCCCCCCCAATAAAAATACCTAGAGGACCCGATTTTCAGCATTCTGGACGCCATCTTATACTGAGAAATGAAGGGAATGATTGCAAACATGTTTTTGGAGCAAAGTGGAGTTAGGTTTTGGGATTATTAAAGATCTTAGAGTTTAGGATTGGAAGATTGAAGAGATTCAAGCTTCCTTTGTTAGTTTTTCTAAACCACTCTCCCTCTTCTTTCTTACTCTTTGAAATGGACGTGGGGATTCTATATATTTCTCAATTAGATTTCTTGTTCTTTCTCAATCCCTATGTGGGAAAATTGAGAGTGTTGCCTATTTATGTGATACAGCTGCTGATATAGCGGTTGGTTTTAAGAAGACATATAAGAGGAAATTGAGGAAGCAACCAAGGGTAGATGAAGGGAAGCCCATTGGTCAAAACAATTGTCCTAGAGCTCCAAAAATAGAGGAGCAACTCTAATAGACAGCTAGCTACCAATCTTTTGGGTCTGAAACCTTGTAGGGGGTATAGGATTGCTTTTGGGGACGTATAAGGCTTGTAATGGAACAGCAATGCCCTTAGGACAAAATTGAGAAGAGAGCTGGTGAGGGAGAGACCTGGCCTCTCGAATGCCATGGGAGTGTCACTAAGCTAGCTGTGGTTATTTCTTCTTCTTTTTTTTTTTTCTGTGTAATCCTGTGTTCTAGAAGTTGTTATCGTTGTTGTGAATCTCTTTTGGGATTAGAGGGAAATAGGGCTTTGGCTTGAATCATTGAAGCTTGTTGTATCTTTGATTCAGTTCTTGAATATTAATATCAAAGCCTCAGGATTTTCCCCATTTATTGTTCGCACTGTTACATATTTTGGCTGGTTATTTCTGGTTTACTCAGTAATTGCAGCAGGGTCAAAATATTATGATAGTGGGAAGATTGAGGTTGTTGCCTATTTATGAATATGGAAATATTGAGATTGGTGTTTTTTTAAGAATGTGGAAAGATTGACATTGATGTCTACTTACGAATGTGTGAAAATTGAGATTGATGGCTCCTTAAGAATGTGGACAAATTGAAATCAATGCCTATTTACCAATATGGAAAAATTGAGATTGTTGCCTATTTATGAATGTGGAAAGATTGAGATTCTTGCCTACTTATGAATGTGGAAATATTGACATTGATGCCTTTTTAAGAATGTGGACAAATCGAGATTGATGTCTATTTACGACTGTGGAAAAATTTAGAATGATGCCTATTTAAGATTGTGGGAATTTGAGATTGATGTTTGTATGCAAATGTGGGCAAATTGAAACTGATGTCTATTTACCAATGTGGGGTAATTGAGCAAATACAGTTCTTTCTCTGCATTTGTATTGCAGTTCTTGTTCTCTTTTCTAGTTTTTGCACCAACATAAGCTTTAACTAAGGCTTTCTGAGTTCAAAGTTTGCTTGTCCTTTATTCTAAAGTTTGAGATATATGAATCAGATGATCACTATTAGAGACGTCATATAAGCATGATTGAGCCTACCATAATAGCTTAAGCTTTGTGGAAGAGTAAGCGATATCAAAGTCTAAGAGGTTAAAAAGTTTAGTTCCACCTATACCATTTTCTTAATTAGACATAAATTTTTAGCACTATGTATTTCTAGCTTATGCTCAGTCCATTCTTCCAAGTTCAAAGGACTTTCATTTAATGGGGTGTGTTAGAGATACTAACAAGCCATTCTTAAGCCTATTAACAGCTTAAGTTGTTGGGAGAATTGGTCGGTGGTAATCACCATCACAGGTCAGCCAATTGTTGCGACTATAAATTCTTCTGCATCTAACATGAGATAAGGAAAACTAGATCACTTTTTATTGGCAGTCTTTAAATTAACACCTTAGCTGAGAGACCATATTCTTTAATGTCATAAAGAATGTATTTATTTCTCAATATTGTGGCTCTTTTAGTACAAATGTACAATTGACGTTTAAGTGACTCACTTGTCTTATTGTGCTTAATTCTCTTGTTTGGCATGCTTTTCACTATTTTCCTCTCATTTTAGACCAACCCCAAGACATGATTCTTTGGTTTAAAGAGAGGAGACAAGGAAAGGAATCCTAGACATGCTCTAAGTTTCCTAGCAAAGCTGCTAAGCAACTTAATGATACCCATCCTGCCCTTACAATTCTGGAGCTAATGTGAGTACTTATGGATGATAAAGGTCTTATAGATGGGATGTGACAACAAGGTCCAGTGTTAAATTCGTTGCATATCATAAACATGAGTGATCTTTTGGCCATAACTGCTTGTGTCTTCTTTGGATCTGTGGAAACCACCCTGTGACCAATGATGTGCCCAAGATACTGAATAGTTGTAACAGCAAAGGTGTACTTCTTTTCTTTCACATAGTACTTGTTGTCCCTTAGAATTTGCAACACCACTCAAATATAATTTGTGATATGCAAAAGTAGAACTATAGATCAATATATCATCAAAGAAAACTAGGACAAACTTATGTAAATAAGGTTTGAAAATAACAATCATTGCCCCTTGAAATGTAGCAGATTAAGTGTTTGAGATATTCCAATTTGAAAAATTGATTAATGCAGGTTGGTTTATCTGATGGAGAGAAAGATGGGTTTGTGCTCCTTTATGGTAAATCGAATACCTAGAGTGGATCCTATTCTAGATGGATTAGCAAACCTTACCTTAGCGTGATTCGATACCTAACTTTCCTAACGACTGCCGCTCACTTTGCAAAGACATTGCAATTGAGCACTCAACTTCTTTTTTTGAATTAATGTTTTTAAGTAAATTAGTGAGTTCCGAGTTGTCAAGCCTTCACGTTGCCTATTCATACGTCTCCAGGCGAGCTTACTCCTTGGTCACCCAAGGATTGCCCTACGAGACTTGAAAGCTGCTTTCTACTTCAGCATGAGGATTTGATTGATCAGATTCGTTCTCAATTACTTACTTTGATAGAGGCTTAGGCTTTGGTTAGCGTATGGGGCTAGGCCTAGAGTAAAAATGATTTTTTCTGGTTGTTGTACCTATATCTCCTGTTCCTCTCCTTCCCTTTTTTGGCTCTCATATTTCTCTCTTGAAGTACTAATGCTAGCAGATGGCAGGCCTATTTCTTTACTAAACAATCAATCCCTTTGTTCATTACTATAGAAGGTGCATATTATCATAGATGGAGAAAGGCTCGTGTGTGAACATGAGTCAGAATGGCTCTTAGTGAGTAAGGGACTACTCTTGATATTGAGCACTGGAATGCTTTCACTAAATAAGAGATGGAACCTTGGCTAGGATTTCCTTATTATCATCACTACGTTTGCATCAACAAAGTGTAGCAGTCAAAAACACTTACTTAAGCTCATTGATGTGTACTCACTTCTCGGTTGTGAAAGAGAGGGTGCTTCTGAGCTAAATCAATCTTGCACAGGTGATTACCTGGAACTTTACACTCAATGGAAAGCTAAAAGGAAGACGAAATCCGCTTTGAAAGCGATTCCAGAGACTATAAGAACGACCACGTGGCAGGTGGGAGCAATAAAACCATTGAGATTTGCTTGTTCAGAGATGTGTCAAAGGTATAATTATGAAAGTTGATCGCAAAGGTTAGGTACTAATACATTACTAAAGAATAACAAACCAGAAGAACTTCTCAGGGAGTGTGGAAAGAAGGAGACCTAAAAGTGATATCTGTAGGCTGACTTTGGGATTGATATGCTTCAACTTAGCCTTGAAAGGTTAATGCGCTCTCTTGATCGAATGCTCAATCTTTCGCTTAAATGGGAATGGTTGATAAATCTTCAACTCCAATAGATCTTGTGAGACAAACCCTTGGTGAAACAATGCATCTTTTTAGCTTTAAAGAAAAAGAAAGACAATGAAGTGGGATGATTTCCCAAGCTTAGGACTTTGATCAATGGGCACTCTAGAATAGGGAGGCGCTACCATGGAAAAAAGCCTCCTTTTAGGTGGCGGATGTCAGTGGTTTAAACCCAAGTAGCTGTGGCCTGTGATCCAAACACAAGCAGTCAATCACGCCCTTAAAACCAATTCCTTCGATTATGCTTCTACAGTAGTATAGTTTCTCAGTACCTTACCTTGATGCATACAGCTCAATTTGTTTTCGAGTGAGGACAAGATGCAGTAGTATAGTTTCTCGGTACCTTACCTTGATACCTACAGCTCAATTTGTTTTCAAGTGAGGACAAGAATCCATAGGGTAGCGATTCTTCTTTTGGTTGTTCTTGTGGTGTCGTCTCTAGGCGGTGCCTTCGGAGTTCAGTATTGTCGAAAGACAAGTGGACCGTAGCTCTACCATAGAAAGGGAAGATGTTGTTTCTCACTAGAATGCCGATTTCACCATTCAGCCCCAAGGAAGCGAGATTGTGGCACTTCAGTCAGCCATCTTGGTCTCACTCATATTGGGTATTAGAGATAGAAAGCGGGAAAATCCATGAAGTTCAATAAATGCTTTCCTCCAATGAACAGACAAACAGAATCCTTTTTGGATGGGAAAGCTTGACCTTAATAGAGTGGACAGGCTCTAATCCTCGCTTTGCCGTCATTGGGTCACGAAAAAGAAAAGAAGGAGTTAGCGCTTTCACCTAGTTTGGTTCAAGAAGTAGGTGCTATAGAGAAATAAAAAGTAGTTTTTCCTGTCTTTAGGTAGATTGGTTTGAATAACTTATAGTAGGCATTACCGCAGCTTTGACTTTGTTGCAGGAAGGACTACTTAGAGTTCCATATCATGAAAAATGAAAACGGCTATCAATTCTGACTCTCCTAACCAGAAGTAAGTAGTCCGACTGAGTCAGAAGAAAGAAATTTGAGAGCTATGAGGATTTTTTTTTTAAATTTAAAAGGGTATTTTTGATCTTGTCTTATAAAAGATAGCACATATTTCTATGATATATCAAACACACTTTTAAACTTTATTTTCATATCCATTTTTATATCCATTAAAAGCAATTCCGCGCACCAAAGTTAGCCTAAGAGATTGGGCTAGCCATTGGCCTTGAAAGAACATGGGCGAGTTCACTTACATTATTTAGAAGCCCAATATGTTGAGATAGACCCAAATTCAAAACTCTCAAGGGGTGTTTGTGAGAGTTTGACATGAAATAAAATGGAAACATTTAAGTGAAATGGAACAAAATGTTAATTTTATTTATAATTTTGATTAAACAGAAGAGACAATCAAATTAGTAAACTTCAAATCATCATTGTTGACCCAAAAAATGGGAGTGAAACTTGAAACAATGAAGAGATAATTTAGATTTATTAGAAAGTTGATCTTCATTCCATAATTTTCATGCTGAAAACAGTAACCCCAAGCCCAAGTAATTTTCATGATCAATCACAGAATTGAGATGCGCTTCATGTTCAGGCGGATCTATTGGATGGAGGCTCTAGGTTGAACCTTAAACCATAAACCCTAGCTTTCATTGCGTTAGTTACATTACATGCACACAAGGTGGGAGCGCACCGTTCAAGAGCAGGTTCTTAAATTGGATCGAAAACCACCCAACCAGGGGATCTACCCTTACTCTGGTCAAGTTCCCAACAA